GGTCAAACGAGTTTTTCTCTTATTAATTAAAATTTCTGTCGTCTGTCATTCTTCTTTATCCGAGTGCGGCATTAACGCTCGAAAGTTCAGTCCTTCACGAATAATTGAATAAATTCGTCAGTAATATGTTCTGGCTGCGGAATAATTGGCGGCTCTGCCAGTTAATTGAAAGTTAATCAACGCGCGGCTTTTGAAATTCTGCAATGTCAAAGTGACCTAGATTACGAATTGTCCCTTTTCGTTTAAAATCTTTTCACTGTGGCTTTTTACGAGATGGCTTTATAATAGTGTTTATATTGCTTAATTTACGTGACTGAAAAAAGTTCCGCAACCTGAAATTTTCACTGTCCATTTGACACATATCTACTTGAGACTGGGAAAAAACACAGTTACTTACTCAAGCGTGCGGGAAAAAAGAAAAAAAAAAGGAGTCACGAAGTCGTGAATAAGATAGAGCCGACTCTAATGTAGAGCACGCGACTAAAGACGCGCATAATACTATCCCAAGCAACAACAGCAGCTGTCTCTCGCAAGCGCGCGCGCAAATTAGAATTTACAAGTTTCCTCTCGCGCGCGTTTGACGCTGCGGGACTTTGAAAGTTACCTGGCGTAATAAAAGCTCTCGGCGGCGCGAGAGAAGCTCGTTAAGATGATCCAAGCGAAATCCTTACTTTACCTTCTGTTTTTTTGCCTCTCTCCTCTCTCTCGCTCTTTCTCTCTCTAACCGAGAATCCGGCCGGCTTTGTTCGCCTTCAGCTTGCGCATGTAGATCGTGAAACACTTTTTTTTCACTTTTATAGTCTCGTTAAAGGTGTATCAAATCCATTAATCGCTATGCGAACGTTTCGAATGAAAAATTTGATCGTCCAAAATGGCACTGCCGTAGCTTGTTTCGACGACTGACTCCGCACGTTGCGTAAATCAAATTCAATCCCGATCATTTGAAATGTAGAATTACTCGCGGACACGCGAAATAAAGAAAAATATCAATATCGCGTATTGCCATTTCCTACAATCCAACAACTCTATTACTACGGGGATACGAATAGTACATATTAAACGCGCTCGCTCACAATTGCGCAAATAATGAATCCATCGCGGAAAAAAAAAACATAGAACAAACGCCCAAAGCATTAATAGCGCGAAAGAGAAGAATACGAAAATAGAGACGTTAAATTCCAGACAAAACCATTCGTTTGCTCGTCGAAGCCAATATTACCTGCAGGGAACACTCGAAAGGAAATTTCTCCCCACGGCTAAAACGCGCAGAAGGGTCTTTTTTTAACAAGACACCGCTTGCGATCCGAACTATTGCTCATGTTCCGTCGGAGATAGAAAAAAGGAATATATGATTTCTTTTACCCTCTCTTTCTCTCTCTCTCTTTCTCTTTTAATTGCTGCCGTGGGGAAGGTATTTTTTATCTTTGCCAATCACGAGGAATGCATTTTTTATATAGTTTCCGCTACGTGAGGGCTGTGCGTCCACCAATTCGAGTTTGGTTTTTCCACCAAGGTTGCGTTCGATTTTCATCCGTTAACGACGACGATAATTTGTTTTTCTTTTCCAACGCGGAGATCGAATCCGAGAGCTCTAGCGCAAATGACAAATGCCGTAATGCCATATAACTCGCGAGGGCACTCGAAAAACACTCCTAAACTAGCAATACGATAAAACCTTATGAAGCCTTGTCAATTAGTCAAAGCAACGTCAAAGCGATCTTCGGCAACTCCGCAGCGTGGAGTGTGTATTTCCCGTTGTATATACGTCACGCTGTACGCTAATCCATCGGATCCATCGATTCCACTATGAATGCTTGGGTATTTAACCTTTTGATTGCTTCGAATGGTTGTTTGTTATTAGAAAGTGATTTCGTCGTTTACGTACTTTATATCGCTCGCGTGTTTTGAGATGTACAACCGAGAGAATACTTTATCTTTGTAAGATTCTACTAATGCTCAAACAATGAACCGACAGATGTGAATAAGGGCAATTAAGAGTGTCAGAGCTGTGTATTTTTCATTTCTTATGCTGCAGTTATTGTGAGCATGTAGTGTCGTTCACGCTCGATCGCAGATATTAATGAAGCTACTGTGATTAATTCATACCTATGTTCGTGGGTATTTCGGTTATAATGGTGTGTATATGTATGTGTATGTGTGTGTGTGTGTATATATATATATATATATATATATATATATATATATATATATATATATATATATATATCTAATCGAATAATTTCGAATGATCATAAGCGAATTAAATACCTACGAAACTCTGGTATTACTTCGAGAGTTTTCAATATATGAATGTAGATATGTCCGTGGATGAGATTCAAATCGAAAAGTTTATTGATTGTGATGAAAACGTGATTCATAACGTAAATCTAATATTTTCCGTATCGTTTCAGAATAAAAAAAAAGTTTAATGAAGTTGTTCTCGAATGAGTTTTGCGTGAAAATTTCGATGCTTCATCAGTGAGCAAATTTTTCTGAGCGTAAGCATTCGTCTCAATATCTCTCTCTCTCTCTCTCCTCTCTCTATCCATACACATCGGATTAACCCAATTTCCGTCTCTCTGGCATTCTCGCGTACGCCTTGCTCGCAACGAATATAAGCGCAACTTAACGAACTTTTGTAAGGACGAAATTCGTTTATTTTACGAATGACTCTCGGAAGGATATGTTGGAGATAATCAACGACTTGCATATTTATCACGCGAGGAAATATTTCCTCTTGTACCCTGCCAAGTTGAAATAAACGCTTTGGATTCAGTGGTAAAGAAATGGCAGCTAAGAAGACTGTTGGCGAGCGTGCAAAAAATAATGGTGTCAATTAATTATACGGTAATGAAACCGCAACTCAAGCATTGGCAATCCACCAAAATGGAAAAAGTGAGAGTTAAGTTTAAAGTATCAATAGTGTTAAGTTAGATGAAGGCGTTAATGAGCTGCGGCGAGTCGCATTTGATTGACGGACCGCCTTTGCTGGGTAGAAAGGTTGACGGAACTTGCTTGCTGGATTATAGTAAAGTTAGGCTGCCACGGATTAGCAAGGCTTAACAAGACACGTATTGATGAGCGTAAATCGAATTTTCTTGGCTCCTCTCTCTCTCTCTCTCTCTCTCTGCTACTGCAACTGACGCATATAACAGAACTTTCAGCGCATGCAGGTGTTTTGAGTTTCTCGAGTTTCGCGAACAGGAAGCTGATTGACTTTGGATGCTTATCGATGAAAACGTGCTCTGCAATACATGTAACGTCGTGTATAAAGGATTAGCTTGTTCTTGGAAGTATTACAGGGCCTAACAGGATGCAAGTTTTAAAGTATTTTATTGCGCTGCTTGTGCTAGAATCTCTTGCATAAAACTTCCTGCGAAAACGTAACCGTTGCTAAAAATCAAAACAAAAAAGGAAAAAAATGCTAAACGTAGTCCACGGTCGTCTCGCTATTTGAACGTGCACATTCCGCAGTGCGTATAGCTTGATTAACTTGACAATGAACACTTGGCATATCGCGCAGCTATCAAATCAAATATTCAAGCGCGCGCGCGCGAGCATGCGAGTGGAACGTTGATTAAAGCGGCTGAATCGTCAATTTCAACTAATGAAATGCTTCCGAATACTGCGAGCTTTAAAAAAAACCGTAGCAGCGGCAACGAGCGAGAAACGTTGCGACAGTCATTACGCCAGATGAATTCCGAAACAATTGATAACGAACTTGGGATTGTCCCGATCGCGCGGTAATAATGAGCTTTTGAAATGATCCGTAAAAGCGGAAAAGCAGCTTATGCGTTCGTATTTAGTGGGCAAATTCTTAACGTCGAAGCCATATTCATTCGGCTGAATTGTTGATTTCATGCGCGCTGGAATTTGGCCTGATAAAACTCGAAAACACATCGATGCGTATCGCGATTACACGAAAAGAAAAAAGCCAAGCGAAACTTTGCGAGTAATAGACAGAAGCGAAACTAACGTTGCACTCGTCAGAAACAACAGTAGTCGACGCGAGGGAGTATACTGTGACAACTTCGGCTAGTCTGCAGTTTGGTCGTCGACAATCGTTGCTACCTCCCCCCTCCTCTCTCTCTCTCTCTCTTTTCCTTTGCAAGCTCCACTTGTAATTGCACGAGCCAAACAAAGCCAATGGCCTCGAATTTCGCCACAGACTCAGAGCAAGTCCTTTGTGTCGTGGGTCACTTGGTCTTGCACTTGCTATACCCCAGCTGCTGCTGCTGCATACGAGGGGATTCACTACACGAACCATACTGCACTCTCACTTACATAGTATCTACGCGATTGCGATTGGTAATAAAGTTTGCTTGTCGAGGAGAACATTCACCTTTGGTTCGCTGCTGTAGTTGCTTCGATGAGCAAATACAATATTTTTTTACTGAACGTTACGGACTGAAAAGCATTTCATGTTTTTTTTTTTTTCGGCGAGAGTAACTATTGAAACGAATAAAGCGGGAATGAAAATTCAGTGGCAAAAGAGCAAAAACGTCGTTTTGTGTACGCGACGGACAAAAGAAAATGTTGCAATGCATCCTGTTTTCGGAAGACAACTTTTCTCTCTGTCTCCCTCTCTTTCTCTCGCTTCTTTTTTTTTTGCGGGCGCGTTCGTATTGCATATATAGTTCGATGCATTGAATTTAATACGCGGTGCACTCCATCGAACCAAAAACTCGCTATTCGCGACAGGAGGAGAATGGCTATGACTAAAGTTTCAAACGATTTAGGGAAATGCATTTTTACGATTTACACGAACACACGCAAGGCCGCCTGTGTCGATTACGCCACCACCCTGTGCATTGTTTTCTAGCTAACCCACCTAGTTTTCAATTCGGCGATGTATAAATTGCACGGCTCGTTGCACGTTTTTATTGAGTGTGAATGACGATCGAGAGAAAAGTCCCCTGTGGCCATTCAAACTTTTCTCTCTTTCTCACTCTTTTTGTCGCCTACAAATGTGTGTATGTGCGGGCGCGATATTCACTCACCTCCGAGATAAATGAAGCTCGAGTTATTGTAGAAGTTGGTGATGATTGGCTTGATGTTTTCGAAAGTCATGGTACGTAGAGCATTGTCCCTCAAGTCGATTACGCCAATCATCGGCGCTCCAATTAGCGAGTTTGGCTCGAGAGTCGACAGTTTGTTCTCGCTCAGACGAAGCTTTTTCAGATGATATAGACCATTGAACGCCTTGTTAGCGATGAACTCAATTTGATTCTGATCGAGCTCGAGCTCTTGCAACTCGCGTAATTCACCGAAGGTGTTCTCTTTGATTTCGGCGATGAGATTGTTACGGAGATCAAGACGTTGCAGTTGATAAAGCCCGTTGAAACTGTCGGCTTTGAGGTTGACGATTTTGTTGCTGTTCAAATCCAACTCTTGCAGTGATGGCAAATGTTTGAAAGCCTTGTCGTGCAAGATGGAGATGTTGTTGTGACTTAGGAAGAGCTTTTGAAGGATTGGTACGTCGTAGAAGATGTCCCTGAATCAACAGATAATGTAATTAATTTGATCGAGCGTTATCATTGTTTTTAATTACTCTGAGCACTTCACCGTTCGTGTAATTAATTACTTGAAAATAATTTTCGATAAATTTTGAAAATAAAAAACTAGCACGAGAACCAAAAGAGTGAATAATCGGACTGACAGAACTGAATCAACCCCTTGGATATGTGTATAAACATTTAAATGAATTTGTTCAATACTAATGAATTTTTGATGAAATTTGGATTACAATGGGTTTTGAGATCGTTGAAACCAAATAAAGTACCATAAAATGCCCAAAATAACGACGTAAATGAAATTTCTGTAAAGGCTATTTTTGTGCTTTAGCTAAATTAATGCTCAGTTAAAATCGTATTATAATGATTGATAGATTATTCGCAGCAATGCACTAAGAAATAAGTAAAAATTTGTTAATTTCGAGCATACCTGCTGAGCTCAGAGATGTAGTTCTCGTCCAAATTGAGAATCGTCAGATTGGCAAGGCTCTCGAAGGCGTGCCACTTGAGCATGTTAATAGAATTCTTAGCGAGATTGATAGTGGCCACAGTTGGTAAGCTGGAGAATGCTTGACTTTCGATCGCGTCGAATTTGGCGTGCTGAAAGCTCACGGTATTGAGCGTCTTCAATTGCCTCAGCACCGCCGTCGGTATGTAAGTGATCGTGCCGTCGTTCTTCACGACAAAGTTCAATTTCCTGATGTACATCTGTGAATTGAAATGCGCCCAGATTGGATCGCTCAGCTCGAACCTGTTGAAGATCAGACAATTGGCCTCCTCGGCGCTTGCCAATTTGTTGTCGTTGCAGTAACAATAGAACGGCGAGTCCGCCTGCTCGATGTCGCACACGTTTATGTCTTTCTGCTCCTGCTTCGTGGGCTTCTTGCCGCGGCGATTCTTCATCGTCGCCGATTCGCCGATGCTCGTTGCCACGCTCAGCAAGAGAGCGCTCAGTAGTATCAAACGTGGCTTCAGTTTCGTCGACTTCATCGTCGTTCTGTAACAGACCAATGCGACAATCCTTTATTATCTTTCCTCGGTTGATTGAGTCGTACGCATTAACGAATTCTCCTGGACACACTGAAAGCTATTATTAAATTTGAACGAGGGTCGCTGATTTGGGATAGTCTGTCGCGTTTTACTAAAATAGACGTGTATCGATAAAAGCAACAGGTTCTGATGGCTCATCGAATATTCATTGCCGTAACGCTGTGTTCGCTTAATTTTTTTTCAACGATTAAACACTCCATCGAATTGATATCGATACTCAATATTTGACTAACATATCGTTGCGTCGTCGTAGTAATTCCAAATCTCTCTTCCGTTTAAATTTTTAAGTAAACATCCGCGTCTTATTTGGCGACCAGCCTTCTTCGAAAAAAAAAAATGGAAAGCTGAAAGGCAAAAAAGACTCGCAAAAAGGTCAAAGCGTTCTTCACGGCGGAGTGGCTATAGAGTCTCATCTCGCCACTCTTTTTTCTCGCCGAGAGAGAAAGAGAGAGAAAAATAGGTTCAAAAACCGAGACAAAGATATACTCGTGCTCGTGCACGTACGTACGTCCATGCGCATAAAATCTACTTTGGCTCCGTGAACTGCAAAAATAAAGCTCGCGGCGGCGGCGTCGAGATAAAGAACACTTGACTCGGCGCTTAAAGGCTTTCACTTTTAGCGCTCTCGCGCACACAAAGAGCGAGACTCGCGCGCGCATCATCTGTACGGGAAATGCTCTCTCTCTCTCTTTTTCCAGTCTGGTCATCACTGATACATGCTTCAGCGATCCAGAAAAAAAAACAATCTGTGCAGCCAAGTCCTTCCAAGGCTGTTGTTACTTGTGCTAATGCTTTGCATCAGCGAGGGGGAGATAAAGTGTGGAGACAGGGATAAAAGGAACCACAGCTGCATGATGACGAAAGCACATCGGATTGCGATAGCCTGAGAGTTATGAGCGGGAAATGGCTGCTGATACGCTGGCTCGTCCTGATATACCCAAGCTTCAAACATATCTCTCTCTCTCTCTCTCTCTCTCTCTCTCTCTCTCTCTCTCTCTCTCTCTCTCTTTCACGGCAGTTTTCTTGCGCGTAAATGGCCAATTCCGCAGAAAAAAACACGCATCACGATCGCTCCGTTTTCTTTCGAATGTTTAAATACCGCTCTCAATAAATTTATCTAACTTATAAATTTGATGGTATTCGATTTTTTTTGTTCGATCTGGTGTCACCCGTACAAAAATAATTTAGCTACCGATCGCGTAAATTTGTGGGCACAAGAACTTTCAGGTTCTATATCAGTAAAATAGATGAAAAAGAAAGCATTGAAAAATCAAGAGCCTGTGCCCAATTTGAAAGCTTTCGAAAACCACGCCCGAATTAACGAATTTCGTACAGGACCCACCGTATAAGAAAAATCCGCAAGTTTGATAACCCTCCAAGGTGTCCGTAAGCTGTGCAAACATTCGAGCGAGCTATATATCAGGGAAATAATTCACGACATAAAAGCGAGAAGAACCGATGTTGACTGAGGGAGAAGGATTTGACGAGGAATATACTCGAGAGCTCGGCGAAAGGGTCGCGCGCGAAGAAGAGAAGAGAGAGAGAGAGAGAGAGAGAGAGAGAGAGAGAGAGAGAGAGAGAGAGAGAGAGAGAGAGAGAGAGAAAGAGAGAGAGAGAGAAAAGAGTGTCAAAGAAGATAAAAAACAAAAAGAAAGTGGCACGAGGGAGCCGCGAGGAAAATAAAGAACAGGGTTATGCTTCTCGGTCTCTTTTTTGCTTCTTCCAGTCGCCGAAAAAGGACCTTTGAAAAATTATGCTGCCGAGTGGAAAGAGTTGCATAATACTGGCCAGGCGTTACTCGAACGTGTCTTTATACTTTTATTTTTTGAATTCAGCCAGCTCCTCGTGTGGAAGATGGTATATAAGACGGCTTCGCGCTTGAATCTTCTTTTTTACTTATTCGGCCTTTTCCTTTTCTTTCCTTTCAGCGTCACAACTATGAAATACTCCGAATCGTTTGATTAATTTTTTTTCTTCATTATGTAAGGAATGCTAAATAATTCCAAAGTATCTTTTTTTTATTATATGTTTAAATAACAAAAAACTGCATTACTTATGAATTGAATACTATTGAACGGCAAAAAAAGTTGCATTATTTGAGAAACTTCTGAACTCACGCAATTTATCAATGATTTAATCATTGCAAGGTATATTTTCTTAAAATGAGAAAATTTTTTAAAGAAATGTAAGGCATTTTTCGTAGTAAGCTTAATGTTAACAAAAAGCTTCAGATTGCGTAATTGACACGTGTATACAGGGTACAACGAGGAAGTTTCAACAAATTGTAAAGCACTGCACTCATTGAACAATAGCTAGTCGTTAAAAAGTAAACTTAGACTCATAACCTGTCAACATTAACAACTTCCGCTCTCATAATGTTGCAAGTACCATAGAAAACAGGCGCATGAGCCCAGCATTATCATGCAGGTTGCAAACAACGATAACAAACTTCGTTCTCCCCTCTCCCCTCTTACACTGCGCCTCTCAAAACAATCGGTCGCACAGTTCCATCTCGATGACAAACTCGAACTCGCGTGCAAACACTCGATTCCAGTTTCAATTGCACGCTCCCCTGCCACTACAAACTTGAGCGCGTTCCCCTATCCTATTGGAAATTCGTCGCGAGATTTCGCGTTGCCAATTAAAAATTTCTCAGTGCATCCATGTTTTTTTTTCGTTGCTCCGGCTGTCTGTCGTCAATTGCTTTAGGGATACACTGCGTGTTCGATGCATCCTTTTTTCCCGCCATGCCTTTTTTATTTCATACGGATGAACACGATGGATTCACCATTGTATTGTGTTTACTTGATACGGTCGACCAATTTTTTTTCGCTTTGTTTTTTTAATAGGCCGCATTTCGTTGAAGTTATTTTAGAAACCTATTTCATCGTCAGTTGGTTTTATCTTTATCAACGAAACTATTTCGAAGAAAATCTAATACGACTTAGTCATTTATACAATTTTTGACAGATTTGTTTACACACATGACTGGTTCAATCAAATATTATCAGGCATGCACTCCGTAGGAGCGTCAAAGTGAACTATCGAGTGGAAAAGTTAGATGTGAATTTTAATTATCAGCAACGAAAATATTACTACATTTGACTCCCTTCAATTCAGAGTAATCAAGGTTTCATCGAAAACGATGGAGGTGCAAAATTACCACGGATACCCGTTGCACTCTGATGATGCATGCACAGACTCCGCATGACTGGCGCCAGTATATTTGCTCACACGATTTTGTTTGCCCTAAGCTCTGGGGTTCGTGTATTTGCGAGCCATTAAAACTTTATCGAGGGACGAGCGCAAGGAGTATGACGATGATGAAGAGTACGAGCACCGTGATAAAAAAGAGAAACGTAAAGTGTACGTCGTTGCTGACTTGGTTTTTCTCTTCTCTGTTCGCAGTGATTCAAAGTTTCTTTTATGATTACACTACAAGGATTTGCGCTTTCCAATACGTCATGTTTTATTGGATTTACATAGGTATACTGAGATGATCTATCGTAGTTAGAAGATTTTATTTTAGCTTTATTGTAAAAATAAATTTTAAAAGGATAGATATTGTTGGAAAAAAACAACCGTTTTTGTCGCTCTAATAAATATTTCTTTTGATTATTTAATGATAAAACAATTGCCGAAATCAGTCATGACTATATGTTCTAGATACTATTTACAATTGCAGTTTTCTTACTGCATAAAAATTATTGACAAATATATATTTTCTTTCTTTATATTAATGGGTACTTGAAAAGAAATTGCAATCACATGCAAAAATATTTAATTTTGCATTTTAATAGTGTAATATGCAACTAAATAAATCCAAATCACGAAGTTGTTAAACTTATTTGACTGATGATTATTTTAAAATACACTATACAATTAACTTACACGTAATTAGGAAAATTATGTAATCGCTTCATACGTGCGATTCGTGATTGCGTAAGTAATTCAAATATTTTCCATACTGAACAGATACTTTAATCTATAACGGAAATGTTCTATTTATCATGGCAATAATATGTCATTTTCCGAATGGGAATTCCGACAATTATCGTTAAAGGATCTAATCAGTGTTAAACAGTAAAAATTAAAATATTTGTATCGCTATTTTAAAACTTTTAAAGAAAAATTTCGTCGTGAAATACTTTTTACCTGAATGTACGCGGAATAAATTTTTTTAGTTAAAAGTTTCAAAATCTAAAATATACGCTCCACAAAATCATAGGAATATTGTGTGTGAGTGTGTGTGTGTGTATACCGTGAGGTGAGCGGAGCTCTTTTTCACTAAATTTATTTTTTCATAATTTAAAACTATTTGTTTTTTAATTGTCCAAATTCTTTTGTATCACATTCGAAAAACTAATTTTAAAATCGAAAAAAAAACGAATTTATTGAAAACATGTTTCACTTATGTCACAGAATAAACGCTAACGAAGAAAGTTAATGCTTAAAAAATATTTTCTAGTTCACTCTGAAGTTCAGAATCGTGCACAGCGTAAAATATTTTACGTAAATAAGATGATATATATAAACAATGATTATGTGGGGCGTATACATTATATTTGGAATTTTTTAGCTGAAAATATAAAAATTTATTCCGAGTACTTTAAGATAAAAAAATTTCACGACAATGTTGTTATTAGAAAGGATTCATCATACTAGCTAACAAAACTTTAAATGTTCACTGTTTAACACTGGTTGGTCTCTTATATTAAATGAATCTTTAAAGTATCAAAAAAACAGTTAATTATCTATTTAGTATTTTGAAAAAAACTGAGCCACGATCATCTTAAATCGTTCAAAATTTTAGATCTAATCGACTGAGTAAACAGACATTGCTATTCATCGGGTAATGATGTTCACGAACAATCAGATGTTTATTATTCGTTCGTTTGATTTGAGCTTATCCTTGTTTCGAATGTAATTTCCAAAATTTTGTGTATG